TCTCTCAACAAAAAGTAATACCAGACACATAATTTATAATTAATTACATATTTGCTAGTCTCAGCATGACATTAAGAATTCATTTTCTGACAAACCCACAGTGTTCACATTTGATAAAGCTTGAAGCAAGAGGTAGATACTAAAGAAAAGGTCAAATGTTATTCTGGTTAACTGAATGTGATCATTTTTTCACTTGAATGATGATTTTTTTTGCAAATTGTGCTGTGCAATTTAGTGATTTTACTACACAGAAATAAGTACTTCAATTTCTAATGAAGTCGCTTACTTCAGCCTGATCCAATTTGAAATACAGGATTTGAAATACTGGCTTTGTCAAATTTCACTACAAGTGAACTTAAAAGTGACAGCCTTTTCCTAAAATAGATGTATGCTGGAAAACAAAGAAATATTGCTTTGCTTCACTGAGGTTCCTCTGATTGCAGCACAAAAAAAAGGTTGTTGTATTTGGATTAGCTAAAATTGAATACTGGATTAAAACATGGAATTATTAACTGTAATCAAATAGCTATAGCTAAAAGATGAATAATCAATTATCTAACATAATATTAGATTATTAATATTAAGCAAGGAAATGCAGAGATGAAGAGGGAGGACAAAGGATTAAAGGTGCTAAAGTTGAGCTGTGACAGAGTTATCTACATATTAATTGCTCTAATCCAGCAGCAGGTAAGAGAGGAGAGATGGACCACATTATGTGATAAATGCAAATTTTATATACAATAAGATCAAAGAAGCATTTAACAAACACTTTCCCATAGAACGGCGGTCAGCAACTTGATCTGCCAGACCCAGAAGGTTTTGCCTGTGCCACAACCAGGTAATTGCAATGGCAGGGCTTTTGCCCATGCCACAGCCAGGAGAAGGGGCAGTTGCAGCAGTGGCGGTCAGGTCCTAGTGCCACCCCATCTCACAACTGAGCTGGGTCACTTCAGCTTGCTGCTAGAAAATGTTTCCAAATACTGTACTGCCATACAGAGGTAAATGACATAACTAACATATTTTCTCTCATCCTCTTCCCCAGGCTGAATTGCATATGCAATGTAGTTCTTCAGGGGAGAGGGGAAAAATAATTAAATGTACAAACTACTGTGTATTTGTTAGAGAAAGCATGACTGAAAAAGCATGTCTTACACGTAGGAGTCGACTGTAAGCTAACTTTATCCTGAAGGCAAAATGTTCCACTGTGCCTGAAGCGTGGAGCTGTTAACCATACAAAAACACTGTACTAGTCAGTTTCCAAAGAGCAAATAACTTCACGCTAGGATTCATAGTTCTGGTCCAGATAGATAGAAGATGATGGTGTATATAATAGATGATATCAGATCATCAGCATCCACCATAACAGAAAATGAAGTTTTAGCCAATGACAGAAGGCAACATTCATGAGTAATGCTGTGCTACAGCAACTTGCCATTAGTGAGGAATCCATGATCACTCCTAAACTAGAAACTGAGCTGACCAGTTGGTGCCTTCAGTCAAGGGAGACTGCATAGTGGATTCAAACACTGCAAACCAGCATAACCTCTACTTTGTCTGAGTTCAGCCTCAATCAGTTGCTTTTCATCCACAACTATGTCAACCAAGCAATGGGACACGTTAGTGTTACTGATTTAGTGTCATTGTGGAGGCTATATAGAGCTGTGTTGTATGCCTATGAGTGGCACTGGTGTTCCTTATTGACTCAAAAATTCACCTACTGGCTGAACATAACTGTTGATAGGGAGAACGAAAAATGATACAAGTAGGACTGTACCTGTGAGGAAGAGCTGCAGGAAGGACTAGACCCATTTTAGCACCTGTCTCAGGAAAGATAATAGTAGTTCATGATCAACAGCACCAAACAATGCAGAGATCCAAGATGGTGAGAACAGGTGCCTGCCCACCATTCAAGAACAGCAAGAGAACATCCATCAGTACCATTAAAAGGGCTGTCATCCAGTGCCCTGGCACAGATCCTGATTATACATGATCTACAGGCTTGAGAATTAGAGGAAGATCAAGTCCCTTTACATTTAAAAATGAAGAGAGGGAACAGAAAAGAGCTTAAATAAGAAGCAGTGAAAATATCATGTCATTCTACACTGTGCTTTTATTTATTTATTTGTTTATCTCTGCTGGAGTAAGATATTCCCTGCAGTATATTTGGTAGTGCTTTACTCCTGTCTAGTCTAGTTTTAAATCTCTCAAGAGATGAGGCTTACATGCTGTTTCTATTCAGTGCATAAATACTTCTAATGTTGTTTATACTTAACATCCTCAGTGTTTTATAACATGCAGCAAACACTATGTATTGCCTTTCCTTTGTGCAAATACAGATCAGTTCAGAGGCCATTTTACTCTGAAAAAAAGTGTACCTCTTCAATAACAACCCCCGCTACAGAAGGCATCTATTGTCAAATTTCTAAATCAGTCAACAGCTTGGGATCCAAATGGTAGTAAAACCCAACTCTTTCTTCACCTGGCCAGAAAACCAAGTTCCACACTACTAGAAAAACATGCAGCCACAACAGGCCACTGTGTGCTCCACACGGTTTGAATGTGCAGCCACTTATATTTGATCTAGGAAGCTGCACATCTTGGACAAATTCTAAAAAAAAGCAGCCTCCCAAATCAGCAACATAGCATACTATAAAGAGAGCGAGCAAAGCACAGGGATTCTCTCTCAGGCCTCACTGAAAGCAAAACCCATTACTGTACAAGATACTGTTTGTTAATGCCCTCCAGGGGGCTGACATTAGCTGTCCTGGAAGTTCGGTCTTCCTCTGTAATCATGACCTCCCACAAACAGCTCTATTCCAAGGGAACAATTAAATTGTCAACCAGTGTAGGAGGATCATGATCGAGGGAAAAGGACTGTCACAAGAGCTGGACCGAAACTCTGGAGCTTAGGTCTTGCTTTTTCTTGCAGGAACATTAAAAGCGAGCCATTTTCTTAACTAAACTCAATGTTCGCTTACTCAATTACACTTTCCCAGAGCAATTTCAGCATATTCACACAACACACAAGTAAAGAGAGACCCCACCTCTGCCCAGTCTACCAGTTTGTCTTACGCCCTGAGAGAGGAAGAAATGGGTTTTTTTCTAGGTTTAAATCCATGATTCTCAACCTTTTTAGATTCCAGGCATCTCACAGCAGACTCAAGGTGCCCTCCCTGACTTTTGTTAATTGAGTGACACCCAATTAAAAAAAAACAAATCTATATATTACAGTGCTTATCTCCTCGTACTAGGGGTGAGGGATTGGGCTAGGCAGGATAAGCCCTAGTCTGCGCTTATCTCAAGGATGGGCAAAATATGGCCCATGGTCTGCCATTCTATCTGGCCCGCAGGGCCCCTAAAAAAATTTGGAAAATTAATTTCTCTGCCTGTCAAAAATGGCTGGCAGTGGGGCAGGTTATAAGCTGGTGCTGAGTGCGAAGAAAAGTGGCCCTTCGCCTACCTCATGGCCAGAGCCCCGCGCTGCAGACGCTCACAGCCTGCCTGGGGCTGCCTGTGCCTGCTCCAGACAGCTCTGCGTGGGCTGCAAGCACCTGCAACTCAGGGCGCCATGGGGCAGGTGAGGGGGCACTTTTCCCCATGCTCAGCACCAGCTTCTTTCCTACTGGTGAGCAGGGGGTTGGGGCTGTGCTGGTCCCCCCACCTGTACCACAGGGCTGGGGGGCACTGGGTGTGAGCAGGTGGGGAGCCAGTGGGAGCATGGGGCCTGCACCAGTGTCCCAGGGCCAGTGTCCCAGGGCCCAGAGAAGGGTGGCAGGAGTGTGGGGTCCCAGCTGGCAGAGGCTCTATGGAGCCAGGCTAGCTCCTCTCTCCCTGCTGGTGTAGCCCAACCCAGCTCCGTGGATCTCTGCCAGCCTTTGGGCCCCACCAGTGCTGCCCCTGGGATGGTACCCCAAGATGGTAACCAGGGGGCAGGGCACCTGTCAAGGGGTGGGGCATCTGTTAAGGTGTGGGGCTACCCATACAGCCCTTGACAGCCTGCCAAAACTGGGTAAGCAGCCCTCCACTCAAAATAATTGCCTGCCCCTGGCTTATCTGCTTGTGTCCTCACACCTTGCAGCACACTTCAAAGGATCTTGCAGCACCCTAGAGTGCCACAGGGCCCTGGCTGAGAATCACTGGTTTAAATATTTGGAAGAACATCATGGGAGTTGTGAGTACCAAGAGGGGCAAATTGTACCAAGACCTCCCCCAACACTGTGGTGAGCACTAGAGCTGAAGACCTGATTATTTTTAAGAAAACAGGCCTATTGGCTTGGCCTTCTCAACTCTGGAGAGCTTTCAGCAGAAACTTCACAGGGAGAAAAAAGGCAGAGCCTGAACTTGGGCGGGACATTTTTAACTACTGATTTTACTGGGCTCCCTCCCGTCCAGGCCTTCCTGCTCAGGTGTGAGCAGCAGGACAGCTTCATGGGCACAATTCTGCTGAGGCCCAGCTGCAACTGCAGCAAAAAGTGCACCCAGGCTGGGGGGGAAGGAATCAGGCTGAAAACACAGCCAACTGACTTGGGGGTGCCTGAATTGGGCAGTGACACAACTGGCACTCCAGCAGGCCTGGCCCAGCCATTGCTACACCAGGCTTCAGTGAAGCCAGCTTGGTTGCAGCCGCTTGGAGGACAAAATCTTCCTTTGAATGGCTGGTGGAGGCCTACTGGAGGCTGGTCTGGTCTGGAAGGAGCGGGTGCAAAGTGGCACAAAGGCACCCTGGTGCCCATCACAGAATCATAGACAAGGAAGGCTGGGAGGGACCTCAGGAGCTCATCTAGTCCAGTGTGACTCAGCCTGTGGGTTGTGACCCACAAGTGGGTTGCAAGAATATATGAAATGGTCTTTAACAACATTGAAAAATGGATCAACAAACAAAGTGGATTCTGCTTTTAAAGGGGAAAAACAGGGGCAACTGGGGCTTTCCCCTTGCAGGCTGGCAGAGCTCCAGCCTGTGAGGGGCTGCTTGCCCCTCTCCCACCGCCCCCCACACATACCAAGGGTGGAGGGCAGCATTCCCTCTAAGGTGTGCGACGTGCACCGCCATGCTCGTGCCTGCACATGCCACGCAGGTCGGGAGTGAGGGGCTCTGCCCATCCACGTTTTCAAATGGGTCCTGGTACCAAAGAAAGGTTGAGCACCACTGATCTACTCCACCCCCCTGCTCAAAGCAGGACCATCTCAGGTCCAAGGCTTTGTCTACCCAGGTCTTGAAGAGGAGAGGCCACCACCTTTCCCCATGCTTTTCTCTCCTCCTTGTGAGAAAGCTTTCCCTCCGCTCCAACCTCAACTCCCCTTGCTGCCCCCTGACCCCCATGCTCCTCCTGGTCATGCCCCCCCACTCAGCCCAGCCCCGCCCTATCCTCACTGAAGCCCGCTATCAAACATACCCCCGCTAGTACTCCGCGCTCAACAAGCCCAGGTTCCTCCCGAGTCACGTGCCCAGCCCATCCAACCAGCTGCTCGCTCGGGGCAGGGGGCAGCGGCGCAGCGCTCCAACACCTCCCCCGCCCCCTGCCAGCGCCCGGAGCGCGGGCACAGCCGCTCGTGGCGGGAAAGCGGCACGTGCGGGAGCCCCCACCCCCGCCTTACTCCTTGGGGCTGCCCCCGTGCACTGAGCTGCTGCGCGTCAGCGTCTCCCTCCTCTTCCCCGGCTTGTAGGAGGACATGGCTGCGGCGCCCGGCCCGGACCGCGTCCGCAGTGTCGCTAGGAGACGTGCCCCGCCCCTGAGGCAGAAGGCAAAGGGGCCGGGCAGCTATCGCCAGCCGGGAACATCTAACCACAACAGCAACAAAATCTAACCGACAGAGTCACCTATAATGTGGTGCAGAGGACTTCATTGCATCCCGGGAGAGCAGCGCTGGGCCCTGAGACTGGCGCCACCGCAGTTTGGGAGCCCTTCACTAAGAAAGTTTGGGAGCCCTTCACTAAGAAACCCCTGCCCCTGAGGGAAGAAAAGCAGAAGAGGTTTTAATATCTTTTCCTCAACGGTTTGGCCATTTACATCCTTTCCTAGCTAGACCTGGCAGGCTGAGCACGCATTAAAAGATCAACACCACACTACAAATTGGACACTTTCAAACTACAGGCTGGCACCTGAATGACTGAACTGCTCAGCCTCTGCTGAAGGCCTGGCTCTCCACCACCTTTGGACTCCGAAGTCAGCGGTTCACCAGCTTTTAGGGACCCAGGCGGCCCTTGGAAAATCTGCCGCTTGGTTCTTGGCTGCTTGTACATGCCATGGGGGTTTCATTTGGGTTACTTATCCCTAAATTGAAAGGGTGAGTTTTTCATAGATTAGTAGATGCTAGGGTCGGAAGGGACCTCAATAGATCATCGAATCCGACCCCCTGCATAGGCAGGAAAGCGTGCTGGGTCTAGATGACCCCAGCTAGATGGTTATCTAACCTCCTCTTGAAGATCCCCAGGGTAGGGGAGAGCACCACCTCCCTTGGGAGCCCGTTCCAGACCCTGGCCACTCTAACTGTGAAGAAGTTCCTCCTAATGTCCAATCTAAATCTGCTCTCTGCCAGCTTGTGGCCATTATTTCTTGTAACCCCCAGGGGTGCCTTGGTGAATAAAACGTCACCAATTCCCTTCTGTGCCCCTGTGATGACCTTATAGGCAGCCACAAGGTCGCCTCTCAACCTTCTCTTGCAGAGGCTGAAAAGGTCCAGTTTCTCTAGTCTCTCCTCGTAGGGCTTGGTCTGTAGGCCCTTAACCATACGCGTGGCCCTTCTCTGGACCTTCTCCAGGTTATCCGCATCCCTCTTGAATTGCGGCGCCCAGAATTGCACTCAGTACTCCAACTGCGGTCTGACCAGCGCCCGATAGAGGGGAAGTATCACCTCCTTGGACCTATTCGTCATGCATCTGCTGATGCACGATAAAGTGCCATTGGCTTTTCTGATGGCTTCGTCACACTGCCTACTCGTGTTCATCTTAGAGTCCGCTAAGACTCCAAGATCCCTTTCCACTTC